CCCTTCTGCAATTCAGAAAATACATAGGAAATTACGTGCGCCTTAGCGAACGCACTGGGAATTGGGCTCGGCAGTTGGGAATTCCGGGATAAGTGGAACATCGACGTGTCCTTTTGAATGTTCTTGGTCGCGTCAGCGAAAACTCTCGAAATTTTGTGCGAATACGAATAGGCATAGGATTTTCTTTTCCCGCGTCGCTCTTTCGMGCGCGGATATGGTGATTTCAATTTTGAATTAGGCTATAACTGTTTCAGTGCCTTTTTCTCTCTTTTTGTTGACGGCGCCGCGCGTGCAAAGCTTTCTCCTCTCTGTTCCCCGCATCGCTCCCTCCCGCGCTCCTTTCCCCTTCTTCCTCCTCTTTCTCTCGCTCTGTAACTGTTTTCTTTCTCCCTCCCTCTCCCGCCTTGCTCCCTGCGCGCCCCTTTTCCTTTCTTGATCATCTGAATCTTGGACCCGTCTTGCGCCACTTCTCGCGCCTTTTTCTCCCCTCACCCTCTGAGGCTGGCACACGACGCCCAGTCGATCCATCGATAACTCCCGCTCGCCAATCAGGTGCGTGGATCAATAGGACCTTCCTATTGCACGGCGAATCTGATTGGTTGAACCTTGAGTTTCGAGGGATCAACATGGCGTTTGTAGAGCATTCTTCTCAAAGTCTTCTCCTCTTACACCTCAGTTGTCCCGTCGCTTTCTCCCCCTTCTATCTCCCCTGTCGCAACTATAAAACCCGCAAGCGCGTCCGCAAATCTCTCTTACGTTCTCGACTCCCAAGCCATCTTCCGGGAAGCAATCGCTAGGCAGAGTGTTTGGTGCGAGTCGGAAAGTCCTGTCGGGCTGACGATAGGCTGGTCGGTTGCGCGTTGGATCGCCACGACGGACTGTGGAATCTGGGCGAACCGTGTCGAGTTTGCAACAGCGGGGTGACGATCGCAGTGGTTGGAGTTAGCACGCGGCGGCCAGGATCGCCGGTGCGGGTATGAGGATCGATGATTGGGGTTGAGTGAGTTATTGGCCCGGGGCCATATTGGAATTAACGGCGAATGCGCCTTTGTTGTTGCGGATCTTCCTYTCTGAACTTCCTTCTTTTGGGTTGCGTCATCTCYTATCTAGACTCTTTCCCCCCCCTTTCACCTTCCTCTCCTCCGCTATTTTTGAATAATGATGTGTCTCGATGCTTCTCTCCTTCTCTCTCTTTCCCTCCCCCGGATGAGAATGAATCTGTATACCTGTCGTGCCTGAAGGAACTTCTTCCGGAACTCTTTCATTAGTTTCCTGGGTAATCCTCCCTCGCAAGGACCCCGTCTTCTTGTCTTGTGGACGCTGGATGCGTGCGTACTGTGCAAACAATCCATCTTTTCCCATGCATGGCTCATTTTTCGCATCTTCCACAGTGAATGAATGTATGGGAATGCGCGTCTCTTTGACATTGATTAGACAATTGTCGTCGGGATTTTGTCCGAGAATGCAAGAGTGTTTAGATCTGTAGCTTTGAGTGCACTGCGCATGCCATCTGCCTTATGCTGTCCAACATCCGCAGCCGAACCACGAGGCGGCCTCGAGAAACAAGGCGCCCGGGGATCAATGTCGCGCTGGCTCATTAAACCTGAGCCGCGGATCGGTCCCTTAGTTATATGCATGATCAAGCTGCTGACGTGTCCTCTCTCTCTCTCTCTCTCCCTCTCGGGTTGAAGGGAATTGTTTATGAGTTGCACGAGTGTTTTCTTTTCTTGATGACGTCGCAAGGTTTTTTCAATTGATTGATATGTGGACCAACCAGCACCCTCCGATTGGGCACCAGCCTCCCGTGCCTCCCGCCCCAACACGGCCTTTTCCGTACAACGAGGAAAGGACACACGTTTGTGAGTGAGACGTGCGAGAAGCTGTCGCACAGGTCGACAGACGATACTACTTCCCTCCGACAAATCGTCGTTCAGGGTTCGTAGAGGCTGGGTTTGTCATTATCGACACGCACTTCCCACCTTAGCCGATATTGTTGCCATTCGACGAGTTGATCATCATCCCGTGGACGGCAGTAGAACCCCACTGGCCGCGCACTTTATGCACCGAATGCCAGCGTTTTGAACGCTCCGAATCCAGGGGTTTCCACTACCGTGTGCGGAGTGAAGAAGAGCATAAAGAAAGAGCCACGCGGCTGAGGCCATCCACGTCGGACTCAGAACTGACCATCGAACGACGACGAGATTTGATACGAAAACGGGACACGCGGAGTGTGCCAAAGCCTTTCTGTTCTAAACGACGGGCTGTGGCTCGGTGGGAAGTCCAACAATACTTTTTGGATTGAATTTGGATTTGTCTCTTTTTGCGCCGTGCCCGCACGCACATTCCGCGACGCGCGAAAGCAATCGACTTGCTTCATTGGACCAACACGGGGGATTTCAGTTCCATCTGTGTCCCCACACTCAATGTCCAAAAATCTTTGGCACACCCCATCTTGCTGTTTTTCAGGGCCTCTTTCCGCACGCCTAACACTCCGAACGAAAGACAGCACAGGGCGTGAGGTTGCGCGTCACTCCACCTCCCCCTAAAACTATCTGCTAGAGACCTATTATTGGAGGCGGTAAGAGCATCCTCCAACAGCAGACCTGAGTAGATGGTTCCGAGCTTCTTTGTTTTCAACATACTGGTACCCCGGCGGCACCACTGAGTCCTCGGTTCCACTGGGCGAGGTGGGCCGGGTATGTTGTCAAGCGGTCTTTCTGCATGGCCGGGTATGTTGTCAAGAGAGAGGGTTGGCCAGCAATTAGACCACAAGACTGCTAATGATGTGAATGGAGGTGTCAAAGGTGATCTTTTACAAACTGTTTTTTTTTTCCCACCGTCTTGAATGCATACTGAAAACAATTGTCGTTTCGTAATTCCCCATGTAATATACAAACCGCCGAAACAGTCGTGCACTACTGGCAGGGATTCACTCCGCGAACCGGCTAAGAAAATCGACGTCTGCAACTTTACTGCAAGTGCGCACACTTGGCGAAAGTGGTCAAAACCGGTTACTGCATTTAAAAACAAAAACAAAAATCAAAGAAGAGGCCTCGCGCTCTTCCCAAGTCACCACACGGCACATCCTATCTATTCTAATTCCGAGTCTGCAATAACCGCGCTCACTTCTTCTAGACCGCTTGCAGAACGTGACCTCAGGCCGGGGATCTATAGCTTCGATCGTCCTCCGCCCACATCTTTGAGCGAAATCCGTTCGCAACTCTTAAACGCCCCATTGTTGTTTCCCATAACTGTCGCCATGGCTTCCATACCCCGTTGCCGCTTGTTCGCTGTTGACCAGCTTCTCTTAGATGGAGTCTCATGGAGAAGATGCGCCCTGTCATGGTCTAGCCCACTTCCACCAAACTGCCGGTAACAGACCCTTCAATCCCGTTTCCTTTTCTTTTTTTTTTGTTTTCCCCCCTTATCTTCACTCGCTAATGGAAAAAGTTAGTCCGGACCCTTGTTGCACATAACATACACTCGCATCCACAGGAGGCCTGGGATGCACGACGACATTGTTCCAATTCTAAGCCTCAAAAAAATCATCATCCATCGGCAATACTCAACACGACACGACTGCGTCATTTTACAACCCATGCGCGGTGAATTAGTGGCCGTATCCCTGCCACATCATGGCACGGGGTTGTAGCTATCACCATCATCAACCTCCCCTCCATCGGCGGTACCCTGTTTTCTGTCCCCCTCATCGATCCCCTCAGAAACGCCCTAAATCGGGCTGGTCTCTCCACGATAGGAAATCGAAACGTAATCGAAGCTCCTGTTCCGTGACAGGGGCAAAATGCCATCGCCTGCCGCTTCAGTCATTGGGGACGGAGTTGGACTGACATCATCAAAGCACCAAATTGACGGCTCCCGTTAACAGTACTAGGCTACTAGCCAAGTAGCCTGCATACGGCTAATAGATCCCAGCCTCCCAGGCGCCTGCCGCAAACCAGAGAACAAGAATCAACATGGTTCTGAGAAAGAAAGCTCCTGCCTGCAGACTGCAGAGAAAGAAGGCAAGCACCATAATTTCGAACGTCAGGCCCTGTAGAGCGTGTCTGACGACACGAACGTTTCTACAAGAAGACGGCGGGATGGCTATGCTATGTCCCGGCTCAGAACCAACGAAGATGATACCAAGCAGCCACTTCTATGTACCCACAGAGGCCCGCCCTCCACAGAGGCCCATAATGCACAACAGGTTGAAGGACGAGCATCAGATCAGAAACGGAAACGGAAACGGAAACGGAAACGGAAACGGAAAACGAATAAGGAAATGGAATACTAACTCAACGCTGCAGCGCAGGTACATAGTATTAAATGCAATGCATCCCGCTCACCCAGAGCTTGCCTTGCCGAAATAGGAAAAATTGATCGGCCTGCAGCGAACTGCGCCCGGAGACCTCATCAGAACCGAATTCAGTCTAACGTCGTCTATCCAACACCAAGACGGATAAAAATACACTCACGGCGTCGAAGCGCACCGATTGCTACTAATAAATTACAAGTCCTATTTGATCCTTCCGGTCTCTGGGCGTTTCCATACCCTTCGATCGGCGAAATCCATTCAATCTCCTAGCGCAGCACGGACACAGATCGAACCATCAGTCAGTGCCTGTCGACAATCTTTCCTTCCCTCGCGCATACCGCGTTCAAGAGACCTCGGGGTTATTGATCTTGGATGTCGTACGAAGTCCTCAAAGCGACTGAAGTTTCCACATTCGCTAGCCTTGAGGCCTTTTTCTACAAGAACACAACTCCACTATTGCTATACGCATACAATTCCTCGTTTAAATCATGCCTCCATAGGTAGACCTCCGGCAGGCAATCCTCTGCTCCTGCCGTAGCAGCACCTCCTCATCCCTCCCACCATCCAACAAAAGGCAATCAAGAGCCTCGAGCAAGGAAAGCAAGCTCGAGTATACGGAAACCACACTATTCTCGCTTACCACGTGCGGTTATTTGTGAGCACAGATGGAAAAGACTACGACCGAAAAGTGAAATGAACGAAGCACTGGGGATGAGAGAGAAAGAGAAGCAGCGGAGACCGGAGGCGGGCGGTGGTTTCTCAGTATCCGACGGTGTATGCGCAGCTAAGCTGCCTTCCATTGTAGATCTGTCCATTGATACAGTCCTTGGCAATGAGCTTGCACAACTTTCCGAATATGGAAATACGTACTGAGATAGGCGTCTGTAGAGTCGACCCTGCAGTGGACCAAGCAGCTCCAAATGCGCGCTTCATGCTCACCCAGCGACCGCCTTTCCCTGCAACCTCCATCTTCAATACTCTTCCGCTCCCGGGAATGGCCAGCGCCGTGACCTCCAGCCACCACCTGTGGCCTCTCAGATTCAGCTTCAGGACCTTGTAGGGTGCGCAAGGCACGCTGCGGAATTGGATCGGAACGTGTCCCGCCCTCGGATCCGCGATGATGGGGAAAGCGTCTTTGCCGATGTCCAAGTGAAGCTGCAAGGAGAGCCAAGGTTAACACACAGAGGGTCAGACAGCCACCTTTTCGTTTTTCGCATTCAATTACAAAAACGGAAAACAAGAAAACATTGCGCAAGACGAGGATTCTGCGTGAGACGGCGATTGCAAGACAAAGGAGAACCTCCCCATTCCAACCACAGTATCAGTTCAACGTGAGCGTTCGTCATCCCCGAGCGGTACAGAAGACTGTTCGCACAAACGTTCGACAAGGCAAGAAAAAGCTCGTGCATACACAAATCATCGTCCATCACCCACAGACGCAAGCGATGTCAATCTCAAAGTGACGGAAGTCTAAAAAAGAACACAGTCTCGTCACAACACAAGAAAGGGCATCCAGCTACCATGAGGGTTCGATCTCAAAATTACTAAAGAACAGAAACAAACCGGAAACATAATACTTACAAAAATAAATACCGATCGGTGAGAGAGAGAGAGAGAGAGAGAGACGAGATCAGAGGTGGCATTGCTGGCTAAGGGTTGCAATAGACAGACGGGCAGAGAAAGTCGTTAATTGTTCATTCATTAGATGGTGGATGGGTGATACGTACAGCTTATTACTTGTACGCACACGATTCGGAAGAAGAGCTTCAGAATCTCTCACCTTTCCTCCACCGCACCATTGCGTGTTGGGGTAGCCAGGGGGGCACAAGTCGGTGATCGTGAGACGGACGCTAGAGCGTCTGCAGGCTCTGCTGCCGACACATCGGACCTCCAAGCACATTCCGCACGCCAATCCTCCCAAGTACACTCTCGGCGAACCCGCAGCAAATCGGGTCCCATACAGCTGACTTCCGAGTGCCCCATATCCACAAGCTCCGCCGCGACCATGGTCATCGTAGAAGGTGGAATGACCATTTATCCACGGCCCCCGAGCCGACAGGAGCGGATTGCAAATGCTGCCAATGCTGAAACCCCTCGCTCCGCCGACGTGGAAGCAAACCAGGGCCAAGACGGCGATGGCCGCTACTAGCAAAAGCCTGCTCGACCCCATTGTCCTCGTCCTCGCCTCACTTAGGTGCTCCAAGGCCTTGGGCTGTAGACAACTAGAGCAAGCAACGGGAGCCCGATACCTACAGGAGCCCCTACAGGAGAGATTCCGGCAGGAGGACCGTCGAGACGCAAGCAGGGGAAGCCCGATGTGGAGCCGTCGACCTGCAACGCTGGAGCTAGTCGACTAATTAGCAATGGCCAGCACACGCCTTCCTCAACTTACAAGTCAAGTGTTGTCGATTGCCTCTCCTTCCCAAAACCTAGCAACGCCTTCCTTAGGACAACCGTAGGCACACCACTTGACGGCTGATCTGATCCAACGGAGGAATGCGAAGATGCCGTTCTCCAGCAATGGCCAAGTCCGTTTTCGTTCGCAATGAGACGCAGCGGCCAGCCAACCCTACGAGGGAGCCAGTGCAGCACTGTCCATGAGAAAACTCAGGCGGCAGTGGAAGTTCTCGGAGGAACTCGACGATGGACTTCGCCAATGCGCCGCGAGCTGTCCCGCCCTCCAGCGATAAGGATCAACCAGTGCTTGTGAACTGCGTACTTCCCACGACCAGCTATATGAGTTTTTATGTGGTACCGCTTGTTGACTCTGTTTCCTGTCGCCCTACGAGTACTCGAAAGACGCCTCTTGTCATTAGAAGAACAGGAGGGGGGGCAGCGAGTTGAGCGAGGGGTGACGAGAGGGGTCTCGCTTCCCTACCAAGTCGAAACCGCGTCCGCCATGTGGGGGTTGCGGGGGGCTAGGGGAAGGTGCAGTGACTGGCCATTGCTCGGCGGGTAGCACAGCCGATTCCCCCCATCGGCAATGCCTGCCCGCCCCTCATCACCTTGACGAGGGACTGGTACAGCCTTGCTCTTGGACCGTCGCTGAGAGATCTGGGTTGGTTGGTGTTCCCCGGTACTGTACATAGGGCCTTGCCACAGCACTGTCGAAAACGCTATTTTCTGTAGTTTCTCTTGCCCACACAGGCTTTCGAAATTGAAGACGAGAAGAAACAGGTGCTCCTCTCGAAATGCACAACAGACAAAAATCATGGCGGTGCATCTTTCCATATTCTAGCCGAAGATTCACTCTCGTTTTGCACATACCGAGAGTAGTGCAGCGAGGCCCACAATCTTCGAATAGAAAGGAGAAAATTTGATGGAAGTGTTCGTTCGAGTGGGCTCACCAAATGCGAGAACTGATAATGGTCCTTCCGGACAGCTATCGGCCGCGGCGCCTCCCCGCGCAGCGCCTGCAGGGCTTCGGAACGGCGCCCCGACCGACGGTTCGGCAAAACTTGGCGCGCAGGGGCCGGGTCGGCATAGAGCTGGGCCAAGTATCAGCATGGCCCCTGCGCAAGGATTACACGCGTAAATCGAGAAATGGTCCAAAAATTAAAAAAAATAGAAAAATGATAGCGAAAAAAAAAGAAAAAACAGCGGAAAATCTCCAAAGCGTGTAGCCAGTTGGTAGTCGAGTGACCTGGAGGGAGATCCCACTAGCGAGGTATGTGGATTAGTGTGACGGGTGGGGGACGGGTGGGGGACGGGTGGGCGGCAGCCTGAAATAGGGAAAATAAACGTAAAAAAACAAGGGCAAGAGTAACTCCATACACCATTTGCTGTAGGTGAGGGGATCGAACCCTCACAAACACCTCCCAAAAAATAAGGGGGCACATGCATGTCAAAGGAAGAGGACAACAGCATTGCCCATGTGAAACATTTGCGGGGACTACAGACAACTTGGACGAGGGTCTGACACGGACTGACATTGCCTCATGATGGGAAACACCGAAAAATTTTGTTTTCGGCCTCTCTTCCACGCATGGGCCACGACCCAAAGGTGAGTGAAAGGTGAGTGAAAAGCAACACAAAAAAAATGGGTCTGATTTTCACTCACGTTCGGGAACCCCAGAGGAACACGGCAAGCAAAACAAAAGAAAGACCACCCAATGGGATGCTCCAAAAAAACATATATTTTCGAGGGCTAAAATACAGGAAAAACAAAACCACCGATCCCCATTCCCATCGACGGCGGAGGCGGGTCACACGCCCTCTACACTACTCCACATACAATGCTAGTGGGATCTCCCTCCTGGGGAGGTGCTCGTGGCTAGTTCTTCGAAAAAACAAAAAAAAAGGAAGTCGACCTGTCCTTCAGGACATCCGTCGGAATTGAGCGGTATACGGAAAATAAATGCCGGAGTGCCACTAATTTCCTTCGTCATTTCCCCCACCCCCCCAAAAAACAAACTTTCTTTCGTCGTGATGTGCTCAGCTATCCTCAGAAACTGCCTTCCCCGCCTGTGGCAGGGACAAACTGCCAGCGCGCTCTTCCCGCCTGTTCCCGCCTGTTCCCGCCTCGGCCCTTCCTTCCTCTTCCCGCCTCTTCCCGCCTCATCTCCTGCCCAACGGGTAAGGCGTGCCTTCTTGCACAGATGTCACGAAGCCATATCCGTGCCGTTGGAATTATCGCAGACCCTCACTTTGGCGCGTTCCTTGTTTGTTTTGGGCATGTCCGACCACCTGCGTGGACCAGCAATACAACTCGGGGAGATGATGGAGATCCGTTAAATTGGAACGATACAGAGAAGATTAGCGTGGCCACTGCGCAAGGATGACACGCATACCGAGAAATGAAGAAGCCGTTCATTCAATAACAACTCAAGGATGGAATTAGCAGTAGGTAGGGTGGGTGTCGTAGGCAGTAGTAGTCCTCTGCGGCAGCCCAGAGCTGCGGATGTTAGCAGCCTCCCTGTGAGCAAAGCTGGATTGATGCTCCAGGTTGGCTGTGAGTTTTTTTTTTTTTTTTTTTTTTTTTTTTTTTTTTTTTTTTTTTTTTNTTTTTTTTTTTTTCTGATCAAAATCAATGCTGTGAGCTTCCCCGACCTCTTTTCTTTTTCTATTTTTTTCTTTGTGTTTTCAAGAATTGAGTCGATGGGCCTTGCTCCGCTACTCGCGAAATGTGCAAAACGAGAGTGAATCTTCTGCTAGAACATGGAAAGATACACCCCCATGATTTTTGTCTTTTGCCCAGGTCAATAGTATAGTAGTGGAGTGAGGCCCAATATATTGCAAATGGAATGACTACTCAGCGGCCTAGTTCAGTCGGTAAGGCACGAAAGTGGCATTCAGGAGGTCTTGGACTCAATCCCCATGGCCTCATGTACCTTCCTGCTTCCTGCGTAAGCTTGGCGCCGCCACCTAGCCGTTGGTCCCCCCGAGTGGCATTGGGCAGAGACTGCTGATGCTCATAGGGGGGGGGGGATCGGAGGGGACAGGAGGCACAGCAACTGGCTCATAGAAGTTCTGTCCTGATGTAACAGGTATGGCCACCTGCTGTAACAGGTATGGCATCTTCACAAACAACCCCGATAGAACTGGGGCGATTACCCAGATTAGGATTGGTACTCGAAACCGGGTCCAGTGTCCCATAACCAAGCAATTCTTCCACCAGTGGGCCTAGCTACACCCACGAACTGTTGAAATACAGAGCCAAGTTCAAATCCGATAAAATCAGATGACCAGAATAAGTCACTAATATGCAGAACGTATGCTACCAGTTCTTCGTGCGCTGCATTCTGCACAACATCATCATCGACGCAGGCATCCCCGTCGGCGAAGACTTGTTGCGCAGGAGAGGGAGGTGAGATGGCGATGACGACAATGATGACAATGGACATGCAGGCGATGATATGGATGAAGAGGAAGACGATGCCGAGGCTGAGCTACAAAGAGGAGGGTCCTTCTTGTATGCTAGCCATCGCATTCGCCGTGACGCCGCAGCTGCGCTCCGTTCCTATGTCATTCGCCATCATCGACACAGGCATCCCCGTCGACGAAGAATTGTTGCGCAGGAGAGGGAGGGAAGATGGCGACAAGGACAACGATGACAATGGACATGCAGGCGAAGATATGGATGAAGAGGAAGACCATGCCGAGGCTGAGCTCCAAAGAGAATGGTCCTTGTACGCTAGCCATCGCATTCATCGTGATGCCGTAGCTGCGCTCCGTTCCTCTATTGTTCGCCATGCTCCCCCTGTCTCTCATGTTTTTGATGTCGAGGGTGATGCACTGTGACAAACTATTTTCTGTAACCGCGCGACTTTCTGTGTGAAGCTGCCTGGGGATATGAGACGGGTCAGATGGATGAGTTGCTGGAAGATGGGTCGGGCGGGCAAATTGCATGGATGTCCTTGTTTCTTTTCGTTTTCTGCTGGGAGTTGTTGGATCGGTGTCGGGAAAATCCCGTGTCAACGGTTGGGCAGCCGCACCTTGGCAAGCGCGAGAAATAACTGTACCATAGCTTCCTTCTTGTTCTGCTGTGAGCACTGGGAATTTTGGCGCGATCATCGCGCGGGAATATCATTTTTTGAAATTTCAACTGATATCAAGCCCCCATGAGCTCGCGGAATTGTTTTTTCCTTTTGCTTTTTCGGAATTTCCTGTTTCAGATAGGACTTAGGCTAAAAATTTAGGTACTCTGAATTTTGTGCGCCGCACTTGCGCGCATCTTACTGCGCTGGGAACTGAGCTCTGACTGGATCGCGCCCTTAATCTTATGTAACTATCGTTTTTGGCAGGCGAAATTGCAACTGTATCTCTCTTCTTTCTTTGTTTCCCTCGTGTTTACCCGCCTTCTCCTTCTTCCTTGCCGCGCATACTCTGTAACACTGCTAATTGGTCGGAGCACCTACATGACCAGATCGGTGCGTGGAGTGTGGCTACGACCCCCACGCCGCGAGCTGGCCATGCAGACGTAGGCACTTCCTCTCTTCTCCTCTTGTCCACTTGGGCTTAATCCCGTACCTTTCGCGCAGGCATGCATGCTATAAATTCCACACGCGCGATTAGTTGGCTCTCTGAGAATTTTGAGGTGAGCGCGATGAGTGAGGGTGGGCTAACAAGCAAGTTTGGAAGGTGAGTGAGTGTGAGAGTTGGGCAATCCGACGAGCTGGTGTCGGGTATGCGGGGTTGACGTGCGGGGCCACGACGGACTGTGGTGCACGTGTGAACCTGGCTTGCATGCTCGAACCAAGCGGGGTGAGAACTCTGTGTGGATGC